AGCCTTGCACTGCCCCTGAGCCTCTGGCCTGTACCCCAGTTCTGTATGCACAAATAAATAAATCTAAAAAAAAAAAAAAAATTGGTCACCGGCCAAAGTCCAGATGGAAGCGTTTCCTGCTCAGCTCACGTAACTTCTAGTAGAATTATGAATTTTGTAAGTACTCTGGAAACGCCCCCGTCTCCTTCGCCATTGATGTCCACAGTTCCTGGACACAGCAGAGAAAGCCTTTCTCTTGGGTTTCTGCCTGGTGGCAACTTCTCGGCCTCTCAAGAGTTTCCAAGGTGTCCCTGGGCCAGGCCTCACCATCCTCGAACTCCTTTCCTCGGGACCTGTGGGGTGTACACCTGCCACTTTGCCCTGCAGTGATGGTGCTCCTAATAGCATTCCACTCCTCTGCCTCCCCCCAATGCCAGCAGACATCTGCCATTCAGAGCTGTGGTGTTCAAGGGGTCCAGAGGCCCACAAAGCAGGAGCTGCATTCCACACACTGGTTGGGGAGCCGCTGCTCCCCCTTTACATGTTCTGTCAGAACCGTTTCATCTTACAACTGGGAAATCTCAACCTTGAGACAAAGACACCGTGTTTGAAAGGGTGAAGACCTGGACATCTCAGGGCTTTCGTGTGGGGCTTGAGTGAGTCCTGCGTATTTCTAACAACTTTCCAGAAGCCTGGAGTTTTCATTCAGGGGTCCAGGGGTAGCCCCAAAATAAAACTTTCTGCTTGGCATAACACTTCTCCAACACTGTTATGAAGCAAGTGGTCAAAGTTGAATATCATGCCAGAGATTTCTATCTTGCTCTTTTTTTTTTTTTTTGCATAGAAAAACTGGGGTACAGGCTAGAGGTATAGGGGTAAGAGGATTCACCAGATACAGAGTGGGGAGCAAAAAGACAGATCAACTGAATCACACTGTTGAGGGGAAAAGTGGGTGAGACAGGAGAGGTTTGCCATGCCATGTGGGTCAGCTCCCTGGCCGGGGATAGAACTCAGGTGGTAGCTGAGAGAGCGTTGAGATTTACCCCCAGACCACCACGGAGGCCCTCCCCCTGCTCTTAATAACAACAGCAAAAGTGCTGGTGGCCAAGCAGGAACTGCAGGGAGAGGCAAAGAGAGCAGCCCACACCCTCTCTAACGCTCAGGCCTGGGTCAGCGTGGGCACCCAACAGCAAACACAGTCATGTGGGGTTCCTGATGTTCAAATGGGGGGCGGAGGTGCTTTCTAATGAGACTGGGCTGGTTTCCAAAGACAGATGCCTTTAAGGAAAACACTTTTGGTAAAACACAGACTAGGGGCCCACCCTTGTTTCGCAGCACTGCAAGCCAGCCGCAGCAGCAGCTTCAGTGCAAGTTTGATCCCCAGCCCCGGAGGTGACCCACATGGCACGGCAGACCTCTCCTGACCGGCCCGCTGCTCCCCTCAGCAGTGCACCTCATCGATCTGCCTGTTCTGCTCCCCACTCTGTCTCTGGTGAAGCCTCTCACTGCCCCTGCACTTCTGGCCTGTACCCCAGTTCTGTATGCAGAAACAAATCCTTAGGGGGGGTAAAAACAGACTAGGAAATAATGGAAACATTTTGACTTTTTTCCTAAAATAAAAGGATGGGCAGAGTGAGCTTAAAAATGAAGGGAAATATCAAAGAGCATAAAAGAATGCACACGATGTTATGAATCTTAAATACTCTCAACAGAGATGGAATCTTCCCACAACAGAATAAACTCACTAGAAATTGATTGAGGATTCCCACCTACCCAATCTTTCTGAGACTTCAAGAAATGAGGCTGCAGTTGGGGCTGCTAACTGGCGGCTTACCTGCTGAGAGTAGGGGGAATCTCCCCCTACGAGGGAAGAGGCCCTCATCACCCACCACAGGCTCAGGCAGACATGGATGACTGAGAACAAGAATGGAAGGTCCCCTCTGGAATCCCTCAGATGCTACCTCGGTGTCCACTGGATCTTGGCTCATAGATTTAGCCAAGGTTCGACTTCAAGATAAAACTTCCATTTTATGCATGGTGATTGCCTTTGGCTGTGACTGGCCCGCCGGGTTCCCTCCTCCTTCACTCGGACCTTTGCGGGTGTCACACCATCTTAACATAGGGTACTTCCTGGGGAGCCCACTAGGTGGCACTAACACAGCAAGGGGAGCCAGGTATCCCCAAGCTCAGATGGCTGCAGTTACTCACCTGCTTCCCCTGCTTCTGAGTCTGGAAGTGACTGATGCCCTTCACCACTTCTCCCCTGTCAGTGTCCAGAGCAGAGATGGCCAGCAGTCTCCAGACCACAGCCAGCCTTCAGATGCACTGACTGACTCCCAGGGTGATTTCAGTGGCCTTGAACTTGCTAATAAGAGATGAAAGCATTCATGCACAAGTCAGGATTTGAGGGGTCCTTAGGGACACCTGTCCTGGCAATGACAGACCCACAATGCAGCGAAGGCTGACCCTTCTTGCTGCTCTGCCACCCCCAGCACCCACCTGCCCTGCTTTACTCACTGATGTCACGTGTCCCCTAAGAGTTTGCAGCCCCGTGGCCCCAAATGTGCTGACTTACTACCAGATGACAGGTCTGGGACCCTCCATTAAGTTAATTTTTTTTTTAATTTTTTTTAAGATTTTTTTTAAAAAGACTTATTTATTTGTGTATACAGAACTGGGGTACAGGCCAGAGGCTCAGGGGCAGCGAGAGGCTTCACCACAGACAGAGTGGGGAGCAGAACAGGCAGATCGACAAAGTACACTGCTGAGGGGAGCAGCGGGCAGGTCAGGAGAGGTCTGCTGCGCCATGTGGGTCACCTCCGGGGCAGGCGGGGATCGAACTCATGCGGAAGCAGCTTTAGATTCTCAGTGCTACACTTTAACCCGCTGCGCCACCAGGGAGGGCCTAAATTAATTTTTTATCCATATTAAAATGACCTGCATCCTCACTACACTATGTGATTTCCTCTATCTTTTTAAACATTTTTACTCAGTAGCTAAAACGCCCAAGGATCTGTTTCAATGATCCCCATTGATACTTTTCATCAACCCCTTTCCCATGTGGGCTTCTGCTCATTCATTACACACTGAGCATCTCATTCCATAAGTGAGGAGAAGAATCAGCATTTGCTTTTCCAAGTCTGACCCTCCTGGTCCCTGCAACCCTGGAAGTCAGCAGTCAGGAGCAGACAGAGACAGGGAGTCACAGGCCCACAGCCACCTAGGGTGGTAGAAAGGATCAACTGCTTGGGGACCCCTGTGCTGGGACCCCCACCTAAGGCTCCACAGCCTAAGCCTGTTTTGTAACCTTGGGCAGGTGACTTACCTTCCATTGATTTGGTGCCTTGATCTGTGAAATGGAGCTCAAAACAATGCCAAGTCCTTCCTGAGTGAGTTCGTTTGAGCCTGGCACAATCAATGCTAGCGGCCAGCAAGACTAATACAGAGCGTGACGGCTCAGTGAATTCAGTGGTGGCTCATTCCATATTTAAAAATTAATTTTGCAATCTGAAGGGAAAAGACAAAAAAAATTAATTTTGCAGACAGGTAGCAGTCAGTACAGCTTGGCAGCATACACATTCAGCACAGAGCTAGGAAAAATTTCGTTAATGGGAGTAACATTGACTTACAACACTGCATTGGTTTTGGTATACAACTCTCAACTCCACGACTATATATGTCACCCCACGCCCAGCGCCACAGGTCCAGCACTGCCCCCCACAACCAGTCAGCCTCCTAGCTGTTCCAGACCACCTGTCCCCTCACGGGAACCTTTCTGTTCTGGGATTCCAAGGCTTCCTCTGTGATTTGTCTGTTGCTGTCCCCCCATTCCACAACTAGGAATCATGGTCTTTGTCTTTCTCCTCTGACTTAGCATAATCCCCATTTCCATCCATGTTGTGGCAAAGAACAAGGTCATCTTTCTCATCGCTGGGTGGTGTCCCGTTGTGTGGAGATACCACACCTAAGAGTCTTCTGCTGGGGAGCACTTAGGT